AATACTTATTATTATTATATATATATATATATATATATATATATATATATTGACATTAATTATTAATGTTGCGGCAACTAGGAAAGCTTCGATTTTATTGTTTTACTTACGGATCGCTATTCTAATATAATTCAGCATTGTGAGAGCTCCCGCGTACACTATACACTACACACAATGGAGTCGCGAATTTGAAATCGCGTATCTCTACAAAGTATTATGCGATAAATGAGAAATGCAATTCTTAACAGCGACGTCTCCATCCGTGTCTGTTCGTTCACTGAGTGCAGCCGCAGCTCTCGATCCTTTTTCACAGTCGTTCTACAAAATCTTCGGGTGATAACGCCAATCAGCCTGCTCGATAAAGACCAAGATCAACTCGAATGACCTATTATTTATTATGGATCCGTGGGGAGGAATTGCTATCCCGGTAGTTGCTCATCAAAGATTGGACCGGACGAGGGATAAAAATGTATAACGGAAACGTTCCGCTACGTTTCAACCACATCCTTTATACAGTTGAGTACAACCTCGTCAATGATTTTCCAATATGCTTGCAAGAGAATTTTTCATTTGATTTCTGTGACATTAGTCATCATCATCAAGTATTGCTTCCTATATGCAGAACTGAAAGTCATCAAAAGTTGGATTAAAAGTGAAAATTCCGCATTCTTTTTAGCTACTTTTCTTATTGATGGTTTACGTTTAAACTTATAATACAACATTTTACATACTCTGCTTTTATTTAATATCTATGTTTTGTAATTAATACTGTTGATTAATGTATCAATAATAATTTATACTAAATCACCGCACACTACTAATTATTCTTTATTGATGATGATGGAATAGAGATGTTTTATCGAGCGTATTATTTTTGAAATTTTTCTACAAGCAAATTTGTTAATTGAAGTTAATATAATTTACAAATTTGTTAATTGAAATTGATGTAATTAATCAAAGTATAAATTCTGTTGTGGCGGTCTAAAATTTATGAGGATGTTCTGCGATTACTTCAAATAATATCATGTTAACCCGTCTGTCAGAGAACATAGGTCATATATCTGACTATGAGCGTTTTACAGTTTTATCAAATTTAATACGTGACTTGTGTCATATAAACGATATGAGGAATGTGCTGACCTGAAAGTATGTGCATTTTGACTAATTTTAATGCCCCGATTATTTGGATAAAGATATATTTTTTTGTTGTAATTAATCAACAATTTACAGAGACGTTCCGATAAATTAAAATAAAATAATACTCAATAATTTGATTATATTTTCTTTCTTTTTTCTTCTTTACGTTTTTGTTTTTTATTGTTTCTTATATCTATTATTTCTATTACATGTATTAATTAACATAAAATGGATTAATATATTTTAAATAGATCAATATATTTTTCTTTTATATTTATTATTTATTAAATTTATTAAAAATAAATTAATCATGTGTTAAAAATAATATACTCTCTTAATTTATATAAATAGAAACATAAAGAAGAGAAGAGTAGGCGATAATTTTAGATATAAAAATTAATTTTAAATTCAATTGATCTTTGTTATTTTATTTTGCGCCTACCGCAATCCCATACTCAAACTTAAAATTAAAATATGAACGTAGAAGGACACATTCGTTATGAAAATCATTAAGATCGTCTGATAATATCTTATAGATATATATCTACAAATTTTTTGTCGTATGCAATTATTGGTATCTGATCAAGGCATGTAAATAGATTCGAATCAAATTCACACGTGCAACTAATTATCAACAAGATATACAAAGCAAATTTAATGCGCACTATATTTTTATCTAATTTTTATCTAATTCAATATTCGTGATTTTGTACAAGTTCAATTAAATAAGTAATGTATTTAAGTATAATTTCATTAGTTTATATATCTTACAGAGATTTACAGAATAAGAAATAATTATAAATCATTTGAAAAAATATATATTCGAAAAATTATATAAGAAAATAATTAAAATTGTTCTATATTGTTTTGTAAAATCAGTCAATAAATTTGTCGAAGAAACTGTTTAATTATTATTGCTGATGTTACGATCTCATTATATGAATACAGGATATGGTATCGCAATCAATGTGTTTATTTTATATCCATAAGAGAAACACAAAACATCCTCATAATCATTAGGTTTTTATACAACAAGAATGTATCTCGTAAAAAATTATTATACGCTGATTTCATGAGAAGTATTATGCCACGGTGTCTTTTTATGAAATGATAGTAACTTAATTAATAATAAATTTTTTCCAATCATTAATAAAAAAAAACAAATAATGGAAAAACTTGTGAGGTTTCTTTATCAGAATTATAAAATAAAAAGAATATATTAAATAATTGCAATTAATTTTTTTTATTATAATAATTTAATTTTCAGTATTAAAATAATTGCTCAAAATATTTAAAAAATATTTTATTTCATGAATTTGTGCAGCAAAAACAACTTACTAAACTCTTTGCGCTAATTAATTACTACTTTTAGATTATCGCTAATAGAGAATTTTATTCGTTAAATATATATCGACATTTCAATTGTGTATAGTCATTTTTCTGTATCAAATTATTCTGTTGATAATTTCGTTCGTTTTAAATTCAACATGCAAATAATGACTTCAAAGTTAAATTTTAGTGTAAATACCGATTTCATTCAATATAATATTCATTAAGGTCAGTATTTTGTATGCCGAAATTTGTATATCAGCAAATATAAACACGATAAGTTATTGATTAAATGCAATGTAATTTGTTGATTATGTTAATCATTGATTCGGGTTAGGTCTCTTAATATTTAAACATTTTTTAACGATTTTAAAAAATTTGCCAATATATATTATATTATATTATTAATATAAAATGTAATATATACATTGCGGACACATTTCTTCCTTTTTTTTTAAATTTACAAAAAAATAGATAAGACAAAAAATGGAACATGAGAAAGAGACAGCACTTGATTCGGAAATGGAAAAAACAAGATTATTCGGGGCAAAGATAAGGCAATTTGCCGAAGAGTACAGTAAGATTATTTCGGCCGAGTCTATCGGAGAAGTCACGAACGATGTCGAAATGGTTGAAAATAATCTGTCAAACAGTGATGAGTTTGATGAAAATTTGGAGGAAGAATATCGAAACTTGAACGATATTCTCGGTTTACCAAATGATACTTATTCCCTTACTAAAATTAAAGCTGAGTTACCTTCTCCCGTCAAGTATGGCATCCGTTCGGGATTGATTCACTTAAATATGTCACAATTCTCACCGCTATCCAGAGGTTATCAGGTACATTAGCCAATAATGCAAAATTATTTATTTAAAAAACATTTAAAGAACATTTTTTATATATATATATTTTTATATTAAATTTTATTTTGTTTTAATTGTATCAAATTTAAAATATTTGCCTTAAATTTAATTTATTTTTTAATGTAAATTAATTTTGATATATAAACAGTTTATAAAAATATAAAAAAAATAAAAAAAGTATAAAAAATTTTATGTTAAAATAGATATTTTTCAAATTATTAAATGCGGCTTTGCAGTTTCTCATTTCACAGCTCTAATAACAGGGTGGCGCTATAGCGATTGCAGCTTTTGCCACGACCGCGATTCGCAAATCTCGCTTTTGGAATGAGGCGGTGATCGATCAAATCGTTGAGGACGGCGATACTTTTTACTGCGAGTCCTACGAAGACGTGGAAACCAGCGATCGTCGAACAATGTCCATCCTCGACTTGAAAAGGACTCTTTTTCTTCAGGAAAAATTTAATGTGAGAGTCAAGATCGAAGATCCGGCGTACGTGGGAAAATTTCGTTCGCACAATCCAACGGAACTTCATCTGGCGAAGGCGTTGGAGTTGTTTTTCGAGCGGCACAACGCCGGGATATTGACATCACCGGTGCTCAATATAGCTATCTGGAAAGACTCGAAGTACTACTATATTTTTGACGGTCAAGCACGACAAGCATGCGGCCAGACAGCGGCCGATGGGATCAGCGGATCAGCCAAGCTGTTTCTCGTGAAGGACTTGATAGGGGTGCTGTTCATTATCCTTGAGAAGAGTAATGTGCGAAACGAGCCCTTTGTGATTTATGCCATATTCATCGACGATGTCGAGACGGTTTTTCCGGAAGAACTCGAGGAGGCTGCGAAAACGCTCGGACTGCCGCAAAGAAGACCGAGCGGTTATAAAATTCCTCGAAAACATCGGGCCTTGATACACGGCTCTTATCATCTGACTCATCCCGCCATACTGGAAGCTCTGCGAGGTAAAGGACATCTGATTCTCGCCGTGGCGGCATTGATATATTCCCGGCTGATCAGTGCCGACAAGTGGACGACCGCTTTGCTCGATCTGATCTTCAATCAGTCCAACATCTACCTGATCGATCTGGCCAGAGTTCTAAACAAAAAGCTCGACGATGAGTTCGAGCTTCGGTTGGAGGACTTGATGAGCGACATTATTCTCGGGGTGTATTCCGCTAAGGTGAAAGTCGACGCGAATGTGATGCCGACTAACGCGCAGAAGGATAATATTACTATCGACAGTGGCATAAAAGAATTCTTTGAAACGCGGGAAATCGGAGTGCTCGAGATCAAGAACATTTTTTATGCGATCTGGAAGGACGGTAACGCATACTACTTTCTCGACCCGTTTGCTTGTGATGACGAGGGCTTCAGGGTCGATCGTAATAACGAAGAACACAGGACAGGTGATAATAACAGAAATGCTGCCTGCGTAACAATGAATACCACCATGGACGGAATGGTGGAGATAATACTGGGAAATACCAACAGTAAGGACAAGGATGCTTACCTGATACATGGAGTCAAGGTGCTTTATGTCAAGACCGGAGGTCTCACGCCAGACGGACCACTTGAGAAAGTAATTTATCGAGAAAGAGGTACAAACCGCAGGCCGCAGGCCCCATTGCCACCGGCACCGACGGATACGATAAAAACGGATTTGATCGACGTAACGCCACGCTTACGACCAGATTCGCGTAAATTTGCAGAAGTGTTAACTCAATATCCAGATATTATGAAGAACATGGATCGATACATGATGACACTTGACGAGCCGGCTACTTTCGTACTTGCGTTACAGAAAGATAAAAAAGTAATGAAAGTAAAAGAGGAGGAAGAGGAACATTTAATAGGCTTTATCAAAGGTTATAGAATGGTAAATGCTCATCGTCTCCTCCTCCGCGGGACTAAAAATTGCTCGAACAAATTATTTAACGAGGAATCACGTGGTAGACAAGGATTAATAGCCGCTTTGACTGCGTTGGCATATAGAAGATTGAAGGATCCGATCCGTTGGCGAAATATAGACATAGATCAGATTATCGACGTTAGCAACAAAGCTTATGAGCAGATTATAACTTGGATTAAGCAAGGTCGACCGGAATGGGAAGAAATAGAAATGGTAGAAGAGGAAGAGGAGGAGGAAGAAGAAGAAGAGGAAGAGGAGGAGGAGGAAGAAGAAGAAGAGGAGGAGGAGGAGGAGGAGGAGGAGGAGGAAGAGGAGGAGGCGGTAGTGGAAGAGGAGGAGGAGGAAGAGGAGGAGGAGGAGGAGGAGGAGGAGGAGGAAGAGGAGGAGGAGGAGGAAGAAGAAGCTGAAGAAGAGGAAGAAGAAGAAGTTGAAGAAATAGCACGCGTCCCGAGTCATTTGGATATGTCTCTTTTGCCCTCCAAGTTGAAGTTAGCTGAGTACGATGTTTTTTTCAAGACGAGAATGAACATCGCCGATGGTTACGCAGATCCTTTGGCTAATCTTGCGGAAGCTCTCGAGCGTTATTTTGAACGACATACCGAGGTAGTGCTGGAAAATAAAAGATTGATGTATGCCATTTGGAAGGAAGATGAAAAATTCTTTTTGTTTAATTGTTACGGCGGCGATTCAGAAGGATGGCGTATTTGGAATAATGCAGCTAGTTTCATCGTTACGGACAGTCTCAACGAACTGGTTGATCTTCTTTACGGTATATTAGAGTACAATGATCCGCGTTTTTCGCTTCATTTCGTGGCTCTGGAAGCAATACAACCAGAAAAATACGTGTCACCTGTAGAAATTGCGATCCCAGACGAATGGATGACTGAAAAGTTCCGAACGAAGTTTTTACCAATCACTGATGACGATTTATTGAAACTCGAAGAAAAACAGCCGGATGTCATTGAAATGGAGATGGCAAAGAAACTTGTTGATTACAAAGAAGAAGAGGAAGAAGAAGAGGAAGAAGAAGAAGAAGAAGAAGAGGAAGAGGGGGAAGAAAAGGAAGAAGAGGAAGAAGAAGAGAAGGAAGAAAAAGAGGAAGAGGGGAAAGAGAAGGAAGAAGAGGAGAAAAAGAGGAAGAAGAAAAAGAGAAAGAGGGGGAAGAGGAGAAAGAAGAGGAGGAAAAAGAGGAGAAAGAAAAGGAAGAAGAAGAAGAAGAGAAGAAAGAAAAAAAGGAGAGAAGAAGAGAAGAGAAAGTGAACAAAGAAGAAGAGGAAAGAGAGTAAGAAGAGAAGACGAAGGAACAAGAAGAAAGGAAACGTAAGAGAAAGAAGAAGGAAGGTAGAAAAGGGAACCGTAAAGAAAGGAAAAGGTAAAAGGAACGAGAAAGTAAGAGAAAGACGAAAGGAACGAAGAAAGAAAGGAAAGGAAGAGAAAGAAGAGGTAAGTAAGAACGGAACAAGAAAGAAAGGAAAGGAAAGAGAAAGGAAAAGAAGGGAAAGAACCGAAAAGGGGAAACGAAAAAGGAAAAAAAGGGGAAAAAGGAAAGGAAGGAAAAGAAAGAGGAACCGGAAGAAAGGGGAACAAAGAAGAAAAGGAAAAGGAAGAGAAAGAAGAGGAAGAGAAAGGGAACAAAGAAGAAAAGGAAAAGGAAGAGAAAGAAGAGGAAGAGAAAGGGAACAAAGAAGAAAAGGAAAAGGAAGAGAAAGAAGAGGAAGAGAAAGGAAACAAAGAAGAAAAGGAAAAGGAAGAGAAAGAGAGAGAAGAGCAAGAGGAATACGTGGAGGAAGAAGAAGAAGAAGAAGCAAAAGAAAAAGAATGGAAAATGCCAGAGAAACTTTTCACAAATCCATTGCTGGAAATCAAAGAATCTGCACAGTCCGATGCACCTTATCGTTTAAACTTAGCTCTCTTGACTTCTATAGTGAAGATTCAGCCGACTAAAGAAGAATTGAGTTTGCCCGAGGGGATAATAATGGAGAAAATGAAGTACAATCATCCACCGCCATATGTGATGCCTCCAAAGAAAGTGCTTTGTGTTTTGCTGGAAGCAAAATTGGCGAACAAGTCGATTCCTTCTCTCGTATCAAGATTTTCAATTGATTCAAGATTGGAAATTAAGAAAAGCGATTTCCCTGCTGATGTCGAAGCACCAACGACCGTGTCATTGCTTCGAGATGCGAAACTTTCTAAGATGATCAAGTTATCTTTTGGAAAATATTTATACTCGAGGTTGCTACCGATACATATGATTCCTCTAAGAGCTATCGATGAGAGTTATATCCAAGATGAAGAA